GTATAGTTGTTTGTTACCAGCTGAAATTTGCGACCAATAAGAAATAGACAGAATTTTTCAGTAAGTGCCCAGTGCAGAGCAACACACTCCAGCTCATTGCTGTGGTAGCGTGGTTCAACATCTTTTAAAGTCCGTGATGCATATTCATTGATACATCGTTTTCCATTTTGCTCTTACGATAAACATGCACCTAGTCCTGAATAATATGCGTCAGTTGCTGCAAAGGTTGGTAGTCCTTGTTTGAAGTTCGCAAGAGTAGGAGCGGTAGTGATCATGGTTTTCAAAGTCTCGAATGATCGATGTTGGTCATCAGTTAAAGTGATTGTCGCATTACTTGTCTTCTCTTCGAATCCTTTAAGAATACTTGTGAGTGGTTTTGCAACAACAGCATAATTTCGAAAACTGATTCTTGAATCCTAGGAAACTGCGGAACCTAGGAACTGTGCTTTCTGGATCAGGGCGTTCGCCATCTTGGCAAAGAATTCCACCAAAAAGAGAAATGTCTGAAATAGTAAATTGCGACTTTCCTGGATTTAGCATGAATCCAGCTTTACGTGTAGCTTGAAAGGTGGTAATCAAAATTGTCATGCGAAGTTGAAATGTCGCCAATGTATGTATTTACATTATTTTCAGCAAGTTGGTCGTAAGCACATTTTATTGCTCTTGTCATCGTAGATGGACCGTTGGAGACACCAATCGGCATTCGAAGAGATTCATAATGTCCGTCAGCGGTTACAAAACCAGTTATGTAGATATCAGATTCTCTGACGCAAATGGTGTTGAATGCTGATTTTACATCCATTTTAGAATTAAGGCGTTTTCCTACTATTTGTTTAATCACTTTTTCCATCTGGTCAATAGGGTGCGGATCAATCTTGGTGATAGAGTTGATAGTGAGTGAGAAGTCTACAACAACTCGTTTTGGAGTGCTTTCATAGAAATTCTGCTCAACGATAAAAGCAGGAGCGGTGTAAAACGAGTTAGAAGGACGACAAATTCCTTGTTTCAATCATTTTTTAAATTAGAGTGTTCAAAAACTGGCGATTTGGTACTGATAAGCGATATGGTCGACAACGGATAGGCTTGTCATGTTGCAATTCTATTTTGAATTTCACATACTGACATAGTTCAATATTGTCATCGTCAGAATAGAATATGTCTGAAAATTGTCCAATTATAGTGTAAAGTTGAGTTTGCTGAAGCTCAGATAGTCCTGCAGATTTTGGAATAAGTTCAATTTGAGGAGGATGTTTACTTGGTTTAACAACGTCGTCTAATGATGGTACTGAGAGTTCACTGGAAGCTATGCAGTTAATGTTAGGTTTCGATGAATTAACACATTCGTATAGATGGAGTGCAGACGGAGTAGAAATACATCGTGAACCGTTAGAGTCGCAAGTGCATCTAGCTTGCACTTGGTGTAGCCAATCAAATCCCAAAATGAGCGAAAATGAAAGCTCGGAGCAAATTCCCAATAATTGTTTTTGAGTCTATAAATGTATAAATTGCCGTAATATTAGAAACTGTATGCGAGAGAGAGGAAGTGAAGGGGTAAGTTAGGCTTTCCACATTCAAGGCATTCAAAACAGTATTCACGTCTGTTGACATCTTGGCGAAGAAAGGTGCAGCGAGAACCGAAGCAGTTTTCTTCGGAATATTGTGTGCTGTCATCATTTGGCGATTGCACGCAAAGAGTTAATAGTTCGTTTAAAGTTCCATCATCTGTTCTTTTTATACTATCATTAACTATACGCTATATTAAGTGATTTTTATTTCCATTGAGAGAAAGATTTCTTAAACAAAAGTCTTATTTTATCTGGGCGACAGTTAAATGAGTCAGTCTTTTAACATTCAAGGCATTCAAAACAGTATTCACGTCTGTTGACAACTTGGCGAAGAAAAGTGCAGCGAAAACAGAAGCAGTTTTTTCGGAATATTGTGTGCTGTCATCATTTGGCGATTGCATGCAAAGAGTTAATAGTTCGTTTAAAGTTCCATCATCTGTTCTTTTTATACTATCATTAACTATACGCTATATTAAGTGATTTTTATTTCCATTGAGAGAAAGATTTCTTAAACAAAAGTCTTATTTTATCTGGGCGACAGTTAAATGAGTCAGTCTTTCCACATTCAAGGCATTCAAAACAGTATTCACGTCTGTTGACATCTTGGCGAAGAAAGGTGCAGCGAGAACCGAAGCAGTTTTCTTCGGAATATTGTGTGCTGTCATCATTTGCCGATTGCATGCAAAGAGTTAATAGTTCGTTTAAAGTTCCATCATCTGTTCTTTTTACACTTTTTATACCACAAAACGATTTTTCCACAAAACGAAGTAAATTGGAGGCATCGCAACATTTAATATACACAGTTATTTACTAGTTAATATAAAATATAGACATCCAATAATACTCTTACATCCCCATCTATGGAACGTCAAGATTGTAATTATTTTTGAGTTGTCTTAGCAACGCGCTGTTTTTATTTGTGATAAGACTAAATTTAAATGCGTGTTATTTTATTGCTCTTGCGCACCACAGTTTAAAGAGGAAGTTGAAAGGTTCTTTTTATAAAAGACGGCTGTGCCATTGTAAGGTTGAAAGACAATGAATTTAGTTTAAATGAATTTTAAATAAAAAAAGCGAGAAGATATTTTTAAAAAAATATTTTAATAAACAATAATAAACAGCGACAAATATTTTAACGCGAAGCGTTCTATTTATGTATCAAATCTGCTGCCGCCTTTTCTTATGTAAGTGTTAAACTTTTCTCCCCTGTGATAAAATTAAACTTATGCGAACCTTACACTAACCATAAAAAGTTTGCGGTTACGCTGACAAAATATCAAACATGATGCATTTTATAATAATCAGCTTTAACGCTTATTTTCTTGCAAAAGATAAGGTTAAAACTCTTAGCACATTAACAGTCACAAAATATTAAAGTTGAAATAAAACAAAACAAATAAAAATTGAGCTGTGGCGTGAAGATGCATGTGGAAGCACGGCGTAAAGTGCTCAAGTTGTTTCCCCCTGATGCAATAATACAGTCACGGGGGGGGGGGGNGGGGGGGGGGGGCAATCTTAATACATTAAAAAAATAAAATTGGAAAAATATAAAATTAAAACACTTCCCTAGTAAATGTTATACCGAGAAAGATACAAATCCAATAAAAACATCAGGTTGGCAACGATAGCATATAAATACAGATATAAAGATTATAAAGCAAATTAAAATTACAAAATCACAAAGTGACTATAAAATTATTTAAGACTTTGTGAAATAAAATATCACATTAGATAATGAATTAAAGGTAAAAAGTGCTATGTCAAATTCAAAAGTTCAAATAGTAAAATATAAAATAATAAAGATAATTAAAATTCAGATCTAGGTTCAAGGGTTAAAAAAATCGAAAAGTTGAAAGTGCAAGAAAAAAATTTGGGAGATAAAATTTGACGAGTCTAAATCAAAGTAATGATTAAGAGTCTGGTTAACTCAAAAGACATAAATTTTGCTAATCATCAAGTCACATGAAATCTTTTAATGTGCATTTTATTATTTCGTTGATAACACAACTACAATAAATAGTACAGAATATACTGCATCAGAGGTTCCAAATTTCTTCCGGCTTAGGAAAACAAAATGATCGAACTTTAACTGATTGATGACTCTTTTTATTGCTTGCTAATGTAGCCTGTGAAAAAAGTCAAAATGGTGCCTAAATACTATACACCGAAGAGCCATTACATTATGACCATCCTCCATCTATAACAATGGGCTCGCCCAGGTTTTCATGGTTTCTCACCCAAGAACAATGTTTTCAAGGGAGCACATTAGGACCCATAATCCTCATAGAAAAATCCCTGACGTCTGTAAGCTACTTGAACATAGTTGCTGACCAGGTTCACCCATTCATGACAACAGTTTTTCCTGCGGGGGATGGTGTTTACCAACAGGATAATGCCCCATGTCAGGGTCGAATCGTCGAGGAACATTCCATTGACTTTCAAGTCATGTCTTGGCCCCCAAATTCGTCTGACCTTAATCCAATAGAGCATTTGTAGTCTTACTTGGAAAACCAAATTCGTTCTGCCACGCTACCCCCTCGCAATATGAGGGAATCGCTGGACCACTTGGTGGCTTGGTACCAGATAACTCAGACTACCTATCAGCAACTTGTGGAATTAATGCCGCTGCGGGTGCTAGCAGTTTTGAGGGCTAAAGGTGGTCCTACATGTCATTAGCAGGGTGGTCATAATGTAATGGCTCTTCGGTGTATATATGCTTTCAGAACATCCCACATAACAGACAATTCAAGAATTGATGATTTTGTTCGTAATCTTACTGAATAAGAGGTCAATTGCAAAAGATGGCAAGAGAGCTAAAAAGCGGTATATCATCTTAAGGTGAAAAGAAGTAGATAAGTATTTCTCCCTGGGATCCACACTTAATACAGCTTCTTGCATGTCCCGCAGTAAATGGCAGCCTTTGAAACTAACTGGGCTAGTGAGACCAGATTTTTTTATAGCTTGGCGATGGTACTTGTGAAAAAAGTCACCGCAACTGTTTTAGTCTTCCGGCGACATGTTTTCCCACATTTCGTTGGCATGTTGCTCGTGGCGTGACATGATGGACGTCAGTTTGGCATAATCACCAGGTTGCACTATAATTACCCTGATGCCATACTGATCATAGAGTTCGACCCGGAGAGCGTTGTTTAGTCCTTCCAGGGCAAATTTGTTGGCACTGTATACGCTCAGACTAGGGTAAGCAAGGAAGCCATTAACGCTGGTCATAGACGTCCTGTCAACAATAAAAATAAAAGATTTTATGAATAGCAAACAATGTGATTTTAAATGGTTCAATAATTACATGATGAACTGATGGAAGTTAACAATATTTTTACAATTTGTACAGGGTGTTCCAAACGGTAAAGATTCAAACAGCGCCCTGAGAGTTCACAAGATCCGGTTGGAACTAAATGAGAGATACCGAATAAACAGGGATGCCAACTTTCCCCTAATAGTGAATAAATATTTTCGAGTGATAATTTTTTAATGTATGATTCTTGAGTTTGAAAATTCGATTCAAAAGGTTTTACTCACTATTTCTTCTAAATAATCCAAAGGCTTGTGTGAAACCCCATTTTGTTACAGTTGAACCGCGTTGAGCCTTTTGCAAGTCATCAAAATTAACCGAAAATCTGTAAATTTCAGTTTCTAGATCTCTATAATTTTTTAAAAATATTTTGTCGAATCCGGAGGAGTTATAACCTCTAAATATGCAATCATTTTAAAATTTTTATTGAAATTTGACGAAATATACGTGTATAAATCTTTACTTTCTATCTTTACAAATTGCACTTTAGGAAATGTGCTCAGAAAAGTTAACACCCAGCATAAAAGTTAAAATCAAATTTCATCAGGAAAATCTAATAAATTACAGGGGTACCATGTGCGTTCAAAAATGCAAGAAGCGGTGACGTGAACAAACATTACTCCTTACAGTTGTGACTATTAGTCTTGTTACACTGCGTACAAACACATTGTTCCTTACAGCTGTGACTATTAGTTTTGTTACACCGTGTACAAACATTACCCCTTACAGTTGTGACCATTAGTTTTGTTGCTTCGTGTTCAAACATGACTTCTTACAGTTATGACTGCAAGTTTTGTTACACTGTGTACAAGCACTTGTTAATAAAAGAACAATGTGTTGTACGAAATTTTCATTAACCACAAACCCAATTATTACTGCTTTTACATTCAAACTAATATAAATATGAGGTTACCTTTTGTTTTTCTCAACAGAGGTATGAACGCTCTAGTTAGGCGCATGGTTCCCAAAACATTAACTTGGATTTGAGTCTCGCATTGCTTCCATGTCTGCCATTCAAACAGTCCAAAAATACAAACTCCAGCATTGTTGATCAGAGCCTATAAATCTGTGGTAGAAGTACAAAAGGCTTACAAACAATCAAAATGAATAAGCATGAAGAAAATAAAATAGATTCATATGAAACCTCACTAACTTAAAATATAAATTTTGAGGAAACTACTACAATCAAACCCCGCTACAGGGAACCCTCAGGGAACCAAAATTCCGGTTCACTATAACCGTGAGTTCACTGTATTCGTAATGCGAAAAATTTTAGCTACTTTTTCCGAAGTGCTCCCTTTTATTACACATTATTTAAATAAATGACCAATAAAAAGAAATACAAAAATTATTAAACTATATGTAGTAACAAAAATTGTTTAACTTTTATTTTTTATTACTCTTCTTGCATACAAAAAATTTGGAGATGGGAAACTGAGATAGAAGAAGCAAACAAGAAAAAATGGTTATGGCTACATTCCACTTAATAGGTGATTTTAAAAATCGGTATATGTATTTCATATAGAAATGTAAAAACTTGAGGTACTTTAAACCAACAAGATTTCTAATTATAGTATTTATTGAAGAGAATATTAATAATAATATCAATACGATAGTAATCTACTCAATTTCCTTTTTATTTACATTTGTAGTAAATAGACACCCAAACTAAAACAAAAAAGTAACAGAAGAATATTAAAATAAAAATGTCTGAAAGAGGACTAAAACAACTTGATTGATGTAGTATAATGTAATGGATGTTTTTTTTTTTTTTATAATTCAAGTATTCTTAATGAAAATTTTTATTGTAAGTATCAATTCAACAAAAAATAATTAAATATACAGTGGAGTCTTGATAATTCGAGTCTCGGTTATTCGAGTTTCTTCTAAATCCGAGATAATGAAAAAAAATCCGAAATAATGAGAAATTCACACACAACGAGTGGAATAATTAATACAGTTGATATCCCGACGATTATAATGACTGGATGTTAACACTTTCATGTCCGGTGACAACGTATTGTCACGTGAAAACCAAACGTTAGCTGCCGGTGACAACACGTTGGTGTCATGTCCAAGCCAAACGTTAGTGGCCGGTGACAGCACATAGATGTCGCACTTCGCAACCTGATATTCATGTGACATTTTGTCAAGCGACAATAGAGTACAAGGATGCCAACTGCTCCGCTTTCTGGAATAGTTTTAATAAAGGGGTACCAAATTATATAGTAAAATTCGTTAAAGAAAGATAGTTACGCCTACTTTTTAATATAGCAACCAGTAGTTGATGCCTTACCGTTGCATTTTAAATCATTCTTATAATTTTTGATACTTAGTGGTAAAAAATTACTTATAATGAAAAATACTAAACTAGAAGTAACCTCGCTACCACTAGAAAGTACTATTTTGCAAAGCGGAGCAAGTTACACGGAACCGGTAACATGGTGAACTTATCACTAAATATATGCGGACCGCATAGTGTTAAAAAACGATATTGCGTGTTTAACTCTGAAATTTGCATAAATAGTGTGTTTAAACAAAAAACATTAAGTACAATTACACTGCTGCTGCAGTAATATAAAGAATATTGTAACTTTAGTTAATGTAGTAAATGTTCCCTGATCCTCTTATGTAAGTAAATTTTCTTTAAATAAAATTTTTTTTTTCAATAAAATGATTGAAAATTAAATACTTTTTTTCATAAAATTTTTACCTTATCGAAAGTCCTGCCACAACCACCTCGAATTATCGTGACTCTACGGTAATAAAAATTCAGAACATAATAATAATATCCTAGAGAAGAAAAAAAAATTTTAAAAAATGATAGTTTTTTAATAATTTATTTAAGTTTCAATATTGTTAGTAACAGGGTAAAAATGAGAGCCAAAATTGACGGAACTCAGTTGCAATTTGCATAACAATGGGAGTCGAAAATGACGGGAACCTGTCTCCTCAATTCTATCGCCATTCTGTCGCCTCAATTCTATCGCTATTATTCTTCTATCGCTCAATTCTAAGCCATGGGTGAAAGCCCTTATATAGCAAGACGGAAAAGAGAAAAACCTGGTACGTAAAGCATTTCATTCCAGCATTTTTTTCGAAAAAAATGAAATATCTGTAACTATCAAGATTTCTTTTATAATTCTGGCATATATATAAAACTGCTTCTTTTCCAAGATAAAGCAGATATTGTTGAAAAATTTAAAAAAAGAATAAGTAAACTCCTCCCCAAAACTAGCTATAACTGAAATGGTTTTACTACCAGCTTTTCCGTCTCGCTTTCACCCCTGGTGTGAGCTTGTAAACTATAGCAGAGATGCCAACTTGCTCTGCTTTGTAAAATAGTACTTTCTAGTGGTAGCGAAATTTTAATTACTTTTAGTTTAGTATTTCTCATTATAAGTAATTTTTCACCACTTAATATCAAAAATCGTAAGCATCATGTAAAATGCAACGTTAAAACATCAAATTACTGTATTAAAAAATAAACGTAACTATCTCTCTTTAAAGAATTTTACTATGTAATTTGCTACCGCTTTATTAAAACTATTCCAAAAAGCGGAGCAGTTGGCATGGCATTCCTGCTATTGGAACCGTTATTACGACGATTCTGTCTCGAGGAATCTAGAAAATACTCTTCGTAATGCGAGAAAAAGTAGACCGTAACAGTCAGTCCACCTTCCCTCTCTGTTTAAGACAATAAGACGATTATCCAACTATTCCACGAAGTGATAGTTACTGGGCTAAAGTAAAACTTGTTAAAAAAATTTTATTTAAAAAACTGGTAGTTTGTAGTATATATTTTTCTAGTTTACAAATACTTTTAATAGCTTATAAAAAAGGGACGAAGTAATTTCTATATTTTACAAAACGGAACTCGTTTCCGCAGAAATTTGCGGAACACACTGTAACAGAAGAAGCACAGACTTACCTCGAATTACGATGCAGATTATGATAGGTAGAATTTTCTTAAAATTGACATCACTTTCATTCCTCAAAATTCCCAAATTACTTTCCGAAAAGAGAGCTGCGTATTAAGTTACGCCTACTTTCATTTTCGCTTGAAACGGTGAGTCACTTGATTATTCACGAACTGACGTCATATGTTACCATCTGCCGTTCATTTACAATCACTGTACTGCGAAGTGAAGAGAAGCGCACATATTCTTCTTTTCTTTTCTTTATTTCTCAAAAACTGGGCACCTGGGCCGCTCAGCGGCCCAATCCCACATATTCTTGCTTTCGGTATAATATAATGTATTTCTGTAATGTTAAATTTCATTGGTAGCCACCGAAGCATTGTTAATAGTTGACGAAATTTTCTCGTTCTGAATATTTAAGATATTTTAGTTCACTAAAAATAGGTGTTAGAATGAGTTATAAATGTATGGTATTACTTATTAAAATGCTTTATAAATACAACAAAATTTGTTCTTTTGTTTTTGTTTTAACCATATAAGTGTTAATTTTAAATTATATTTAAAATTCATTTCGAAAATTTATTTTCATGTTAAGTGAAAGAAATGTTGAATCAATTTTTTACTTTCTTTTCAATTCTTTTTCAATTTTTTACTTATTCTTTGAAAAATAAATAAAAGTTAAAAAAAAATTAATATATTCCAATAGATTTTATTAACTTTATTTTAATTGCGTTAATCTATGTCATAAGATTATTTGAAATCAAGCAAATGCATTTATTTAGTTCTACAATGCAGACACTGGAATTAAATATTATAAATGCATATAAAATAATTTTTAGAAATGGCAAAGTTCTCATTTACTCAAAGAATAAAAATAATGAGAGAAATATCAAGATTACTGTCGATTTTTTATTTAATATTTAGTAAATATTAAAGAATGTACATTAGAATGTCTTATCACTTTGCATAAGTTTATTTTTCATTATTATTCTTAGTCAAACAAAAACGCCTAGATTATTGATATTCGCTGAAATTAAGTGGATAAATTAAATAACATTAAATGAAATTTTAAGTATAAGAAAAACGATGATGATGGACAAATATATTTCAATGGATTAGATTCTTGAAAGTCCTGATTCATTTTCGGCAATACCGAATGCTTAGCCTGAGATTTTTTCATATTTCAATTAAAAAATTTTCATTACAAATTTATAATGTATCAATTTTCCTATTGTAGAATTCTTCATTAGAAGCAATGACAAATAGTTTGTAAAAATAAGGAGAGAAATTATTTTATAGGACTATTATTTTACCTTAAAAATAAGTAAAATAAAATAATATTTTCTATGAACCACTGATTTCAGCTGGAAAAAAAATGTTGATTCGCTGTGAAGAGCAGCATAATACTTTCTTTAGATATTTTACTGATAAATAAACAGTTTGAAGTTTCATTTTGCACACACTCTCAAAATCGTAAATTTAATTCACAAAGTTTTTACTAATTTTACTACAAATTTACATAGGGTGTTCATACGATGTAAGTAATATCAAAACTAAAAGAAGCATTGAAATAGACTTAGCGGATGGAGGAGGCACGCTTCCATTCAGCACAAGTGACGTCATAACCAATCAGGAATCAGTTTTGATTGCATCACTTACGGAGACCTTTTGGGGCAATTTAAATGTTCAACAACTAAATAATTAAACATTTGGTGAAAAAAACACTCAGATTTTCGGCTTTATGAGAGAATTGACAATAATTTAATATTTAAAATTAAAAAATTTAAGATATGCTAAAATTGCCCATTTATATATTTTTTTTCGCTTAAAAGAACGTAGCAAAAAATGCATTGCAAAATAAATTTAGTTGCAAAAAATGCACTAATATTTAAGCAAACACATCAAACCAAAAAATTTATATCCTCTTTAAAATTACTTTTATTCAAGTTAAAATGTATTAAGTAATGCAATGCAATGCAACGTTCATTAACGTTTGAAATAAATGTGTCATGCAAAAATAACAAAAAACAAAAATATATTGACACCTGAGCATTTTCCTTTTTGCGCATAAAGTTTAATAAACATGAAAGGATATCAATATTGAATATCAGAATAATAAAGTATAGAAAAAAAGCGTA